ATATGATAAGAGGTACTGATGAGAGAAGTTTGATATCAGCAGAGATGCATTTTATGATGCCGTTTCAGATAATGAAAGAAATGAAGAAATAACGAAGTGAAATACAATTTCACAGATGCTAGTATTTATAGAACAGTATGGAACGTGTTTTTAGAATGAGTTCTGACAGAAGGGAATTGTAAAATATCAACCTAAGGGAAAAAGGGGAAACCCACTGAAATGAATGCAGGATTCTATTTTGTAATAGCTGTGAAAGGTTATGCGGTAGTATAATTGGTTGAGGCGCTATGCTACAAGTCGTCCTATTAGCCTGTGTTCTTTCCTTTTGAAAACGATGGAGAAAGTGGTAGATAGACATATTAGGGATGGTGCATTGGAAGTTCATCCTCTGCACTGAAACCAACATGCTTACCAAATAGGTAAATCTACAGAAACTGCATTGCATAATGTAGTAACACACATATAGAATGCTACTGAACACAAGGATATTGCTCTTGGAGCATTCCTTGATGTAGAGGAAGCCTTTGACACAATGAAACAGGCTGCTGAAAGGCATGGCATTGAGCCCGCAATATGCAGATGGATCTGTGCCATGTTGAAATGCAGAAATATAAGTGCTACATTGTCTGGAGAGATCCTGAGAGCGTCTTCAGAGAGGGAGTGTCCGCAGGGTGGGCATTCTTTCCCCTCTCCTGTTGAGCCTGGTCCTGAATGTTCTTCTTTGGGAGCTCAACAGTAAAGGCCACTTAACAGTAGGATATGCTGATGATATAGCAATCCTGATTAATGGGAAATTCCCACACACTGTATCAGAGGTCTTACAAACAGCCCTGTATACAGTTCAACAGTGGTGCGAAAGGACAGACTTGTCTATCAATCCAAACAAAATGGCGATTGTACCTGTTACTAGGAAGAGGGATATAAAGGGGCTCAGAGAACCAGTCCTCTTCAGTAAAAAGATCTGGCTATCCAATGAAGTCAAGTACCTTTGAATAACATTAGACAAGGGACTGACATGGAAGAAACAGCTGGACAAGGCTATTAATAAGGCCTATAAAGCCTTCTGGACATGCAGAGGCATGTTTGGGAAGACATGGGGACTGACACCAAGGGTGGTATATTGGATATACACTGCAGCGGTAAGACCCATAATCACCTATGGTGGCCTACAGTCAAACTCAAAACAAGTCAGGCAGAACTTAGCAAACTGCAAAGGACGGCCTGCTTGGGAATTATGGGAGCAATGAGGACAGCTCCAACAGCTGCAATGAAAATCCTACTAGGACTCCCCCCACTGCATTTGCAGATGGACGCAGAGGCCAAGTTAGGAAATTACAGATTACGTGGCAATGATCAATGGAGACCTAAATCTGAAGGTTTTGGACATGCATACATGACTCGGGACATGAAAAAGGAACCCATCCTACAGATGGGATCTGATAAAAGGCTACCGAAACATGTTTATGATAGCCCCTTCATGATCAGATTTCCTGATAGAAGTGAATGGAAAGAGGGGTTTCAACCTGATAGAAAGGGGGGACTAATCTGGTATACAGATGGCTCCAAGACAAATAAAGGCACTGGAGCTGGCACATATTGTGATGGAACGAGGTGAAGTATACCTTCAGCCTTGGTCAGTACGCAACAGCATTCCAGGCAGAGGTGTATGCCATTAAGGCATGTGCAGTTGAGAATTTAGATAGGAACTATAGAAATAGGAACATTAATGTCCTATCAGGCAGTCAAGCTGCAATTAAAGCACTTGGTACACACTAAATCACTTCAAAATTGGTTTGGGACTGCCACCAATCCCTCGTACAACTGGCCAGAAATAACAGTACAACTGGCCAGACATAACAGTACAACTGATATGGGTGCCCAGTCATGAGGGTATTGGAGGGAATGAAACCGCAGATCAGCTGGCAAAAACAGGATCTGAACATCCATTCATAGGATCTGAACCAGCTTGCGGCATCTCAATTGGAGTTTCCAAGAAAGTGATCAGGGACTTGACTGATAGAAATCATGAAAATACTGGGAATCCATAATTGGACTCAAACAGGCAAAGAGTTTCATACCAGGACCCTCTGCCAGAAGAACGAAGGATCTGTTGAGATTAAACAGAGATCAACTAAGATGGGTGGTAGGATTACCTACTAGACACTGCCAACTAAAAGAACACCTTTTCAAGTTGGGACTGAGAGATAACCCAACCTGTGAAAGGTGCCTACAATAAAACAAATCAGCCACACAGATCCTGTGTGATTGTGAGGCCATAGCTTATTTAAGATTTCATAACTTGTGTCAGTTTTTTTATGGAACCAGGTGACTTTTATGATGCCCCCATAAGCAGGGTTCTACACTTTACTAAAAGTGTAAGATTAATAAAGGGCTAATCAAAGGGGAAACACAAGAGATCATTGAAGGTTGCAGTGCAGGGGCCAGATTTTATGGCCCACCCCTTACATACATATGTGCTACAAACTTGAAGGTTGCAGGTTCAAGTCCTGATGAGATCATTGGATTTTTTCAATTGACATAATCCTTCTGGCCACACTATGGCCCTGGGGTCAACTCAGCCTCTAACAGAAATGAGAACCATGGATATTCTTGGAATGTTCTTGAGTGTAGAGGGCAGCTGGCACATAGGGCTGACAACCTTGCCACCATCTATGAGCCGATTGTCTAGAAAATGTGGGAACCTCAACATCTCACAACCCTATGGGCCTCCAAGGCCTAATACAGGGATGCCATTGCTTCTAATAGCTGTGACAGGTCTCAGTAGGCCTAGCACTGGAAAGGGCAAAGATGAGAGATATTTTCATCTCCAAGTGTGTACATTGTCTCCAAAGTCCCCCTTTCAGGTCTAGGCCATGTTCCTGGTAATCATAAGGTTTTAGAGGAAGCATTCTTGATCTGTTGTGAGATATTAACTTAACATTTGGCTGAGGAGCCTGAGAAAGAACCCAAGAAAACCTCTGTCAAGATGTCCAGTGTCTGGCCAGGGCTTGAATTTGATACGTCCTGAATGCAAGTCATACTTGTTACCATTATACAGTGACATGCTTAAAAGCAATGGAGATCAGCTACAAAATAAATGGTAGGCCCTCTATCCTAGATGGCTAGGCAAACAAAGAGGAAAATTGTTACATAAATGACAGTTGGTGGTCAGTGACATTTCTTAACCCCCAAAAAAGTCTTCAGTGATTACTGCAGCCAGGTACAGTGAATGTTCTTTATACTGGGTGGCACAAATGACGCCAGCGGTGATGTAACATGGGACGCTGCAGTTACTACATAGCCATAAACAACTCCCAACAGCTTTGCTAGGCTATCGGCACACGGTGACTAGGCAACAAGGAAGCGAGGTGTTTTCCCGTTGTCGGGCTGAGGGTTTATAAGAGACCTACACTGCCTACAAAGACAGTTAAAAGTGTAGCAGCCTACGAAGGAGTTGAAATGTGGCAGCCGCCGAAGTTAGTTACGAGTAGGCCAGGGAAGAGTATGCAGTCTAGTATTTGTAATACTGCAGGTAGCAGTAGTTGTGAATCTGTAAATTGTGTGATTGTAAGAGCGAATGTGAAATAAAATTTGCTATATCCAATATGGCGTGAAGTTATTTGTCACGTTATATACCCAACACATGACAATATACGTGGTTCAATCCAAAAGTTCCTGAAATATATTAATAAAAACTATTACATCTTACCTAGATCTTATTCTGCACCATCACCTTCAAAGTAGTCCCCTTGGAAGCACGTACACCGATCCCAGCATTTCTGCCGCTTTTCAGATGCATCCTGGAAGTCTTTCTTTGTTAGGGTGTTTAGTACCGTCTGCGTTTCCGCTTGAATTTCCTCAACTTTATCAAATCTTTGCCCCTTCAACTTGATTTTCATCTTGGGGAAGAGAAATAAGTCACATGGAGCTAAGTCTGACAATTATGGTGGGTGGGGAACAACTGACATCTTGTTTTTAGCCAAAAATTCCTGCACAATGTAAGCCATATGCGGTTGTGCGTTGTCATGGTGGAGTACCCAGTCATTCGTGCGCCACTTCTCTGAACGTTTTCTCCTCATGTCCTCCCTCAAACGCCGTAGAACATTGCGATAGAACTCTTTATTGACTGCCTGACCAGGAGGGATGAACGCCTTATGAACAATCCTGTCAATATAAAAAAACAGATCAACATGGACTTAATGTTGCTCTTGACTTGTTGAGCATTTTTCGGCCGAGGTGAAGAAGGGCTCTTCCATTGCAACAATTGCTGCTTACTTTCAGGGTCGTAGCCATAAACTCAACTTTCGTCACCAGTGACAACCTTCGAAAGAAAGTTTGGATCCTCTTGAAGTTCCCTGCAGACTTCCAAGCAATGCTGCTTCTGCTCATTTTGCAGCAGTCGTGGCACAAACTTTGCCACAATCCTCATGTTCAGGTCCTCTGACAAAATTCGTTGACATGTACCATAACTTAGTCCCAAGGTGTTGCAGAGGTCTCGGGTGGTCAGTCTATGATCTTGCAGAGTCAGATCCCTAACTTTCGCGACATTTTCTGGTGTTTTTCCCATTGGCGGGTGTCCCGAACAATCGTCATCAGTCAGTGTTCTACCATTTTTAAAACGCTTATACCAGTTGTAAGTTTGTGTCTGGCCTAAACTGTTGTCACCAAAAGCTTGCTTCAACATTTGGTGCGTTTCTGCAGCGGTTTTCCCAAGTTTGAAACAAAACTTTATACAGACACGCTGCTCTCTCAGGTCAGCCATCGCAAAACTACAAACTCACGGAAACACAACAATGAAAATACGTTCACCAACAATAAACCCAACCACTCAACTCGACGCTGCTTGCCACACTGATGCAAGAAGGATGTGTGAGGAGACACTTAGCGGTATTTCGATGTACTCATAACCATTCACGCGCAAAATTCAAATTTTGGAAACTTTTGGATTGCCCCACGTATATGTTTGCTTTATACAACTGATTGCATTATTTTGTTCTCAGACTCCATTTGTTCGGCAAAATACACCACATCCCAAGGAGCTGAAGGCAAAAGCACATAAATTATTTGGGAAAGGAAAGTCTCCTGATGGAAAGGCCACTACAGATCGATCGGTAAGTGAATTACTGTGAAAGCAGCAGGGACATTCAAGATGTTGAACATTACTGAGAACTTGAACGCTTTCAGTTAATAAATTTATAAAATAATCTGTCATTAGCATTATCCTCTTGTTGCAAAAATAATTATAAGACGCAATTTTGGGACCGCTCAGTTCCGTGCTTTCTAGTTAGATGTGTGTAGAGAGTGATGAACAGAGTTTCTGTCATTATAACAAGTTCTAAGATACAGTGTTAAGAAATATAATAAATGGCAAAGATATATATATATATTGTGTGTCCGAATAAAGTGTCCAGAAATATAAAGCATCCTGAATATTTTAATTCTCTTTGTAATTTTTTTAATGGACATTACATATAAACATGGACAAGACATTGTGTGCCAGAATAAAGCATCCTGAATATTTTATTCACTTAGGGGTTTTTTTTATTGTGAAAAAGCTCGTAGATGATATACAGAAGATGAAAACCATCACATTAAAGGTACAATTTAGGTCATTGGTTGATCTTGTAGATTTTTAATATGGGATCATGGGAAATGTTTTCTGTTAGAAGTTGCTGCAGGGAAAGGATATGGAGGGCTGAAAGGTAAGAAAATATGTCATACAGAATTTACTAGTACAACATAATTGTATGATATTACCAAGAGAAGGATGTTGAAACAAATATTTTGTAATGCTCAGAGTACTGTGAACCTCAATTTCACAGTGCAAGGGCCACATCAGAAGTTTGTGTAGACTTTACAGACATACAAACATAACTGTTTGCAGACTAAGCCTCCATTAATGACTCCAAATACAATTTGTGTGTCTTACATATGACACAACATTGTAATTGCATCCATATAACTGTCATAGTGATTCCATATGTTACTGCTGTCTTGTGGGAAACATAAGTATGTGTAAAAGCCATCAGTCAGTCTGGAAGAATCTGGAATATAACGCTCCATTACTGAACCAAAAAGCATTGTAGGGTCTAGTGAATCACAACTTTTTTGGGGTGGAGTGTGGAATATTGCTGAAGGGGTTGATGTATCCTGACAGATGACAGGTACTTCAGCAAATATCTGGCACAAAGAAACTGGCAGCTCTTTGTGACATGTAGCAAGGTACATATCATCTGTGTAAGTGCTGTCACTTTTCAAGCTACTTTATACTGGACAGTACTGTATAATCAATAATGGTGTATTTTATGTTGAGTTTAACATGCTTGGTGCCACTTACAGTCTTAGTTTTGTTTACAGGAAACTGGTAAAGTTCAGCCCCAACCAGAGAAACAAGAGAAGCAGACCTCTGAGATGGAAACACAACCCCCTCCAAGTGATCAGAATTCTTGTGTGGAGCCAACACTGAAAGATGCAGACAATACAAAGGAGGTATAATGACTTAACATGTGCCAGGCATGGCGCATAACTGTAGCTAGGGACTAGTTCTATTGGTTGGGACCAGTTGAGTAGGCTGTTACCTGAGGATGGAGACAGAGTGCAATCTCCAAAATGTTGTTTTAAATAAAGAAACAGGATGATGTCAGAAACTCAGTAATTTACTTTAGCTTTTGCTTAACAAAAGAAATTGAGTCTTGAAGCTGAACACTAGCTTTGGAAATGCTCATGTGCTATAAAATATGGCATGCCAGGAGATAGGCAGTTAATGAATATGCAGTTCGTGGTGATGGTTGAGAACCAATTAAATATATAGTCTTCAGTGTTAATGTTGGTATTGTGTATTTTTATTTACCCAGTGTTTTGTATTATTTATTACAATTGTTTCTAATAAATGAAAGTGTAATAAGTTGTATGACACAAATGGAGATAATCGTAGAAGCAAAGGAGACTTGCTCTATGCAGACTTCTCCATTATGAGACACTGCATATGAAGCCAGTTTTGAACTAAGGGTTATTTGGTTGGTGAAGAGACATAATTATGGGGCATCTGGGTAAAACAGCATATTTAATGCCTATATGTTTTGACAGAAGGGAAGGAACAATTTAATATGTTCAGGTTAGAGTGGAAACATTCACAGAACCTGATATGTTCTACAGTAAAATATAGTGGTATGTTTGTGAAAGTATATCTAAGATTTTTCTTTTTTTTTAGTCATTGGGTTATATTTCATCAGAATTTTTCACTTATCTAAGATTGTCTTGTACTTGAGAAGAAATGATGTGTGGTCAGATTGACATAAAATTTGTCACTTAATGAATTACCTGCACACTGACAGAAACTTCATTTCTTTTTGCAGGTGAACAGTAAGATGCCAGCTAACCAGGTTGTCCTGAGTGAGACATTAGCTGTAGTAATCTCTCCAGAACCTGAGAACCAGGTGGCTGCAGAGTCCCATGAGTCTGGAAGTGAAGAGAAAGAGCCTAGTGAGATGGAGGTTGATGAATATTCAAATGAGGATCAGGAGGAGACTGAGAAGCATGTTGGCTTTGAAGTGGAAGATGAGGAGGATGCTGGTGCGAGACCAAACAGACTGCATCGTCGTGACACACCACACCACCTCAAAAACAAACGCATCAATGTAAACATCGATCACAACAAAGTGGCGTCAATTATTGCCCAGGTAATGGTTTAAACTTAAGAGCATGTCTTTCTCTGATGCACAGTAAAACCATGTTTTATAAATGCTGTATAACAAAATATTAGGGTTCATGTGGTACACAGCCTGATAATTAAACAGCTGACTGACATTTTTGTGCAGCAACTGGCATCAGTGGTCCGGTATGTGTTGGATCACGTAACCATGTTAATCAGCTGTTTTACGTTGCTGGAATTTGCTTTGGTTTATCATTGCAGAAAATTTTAAGATGTTACACTGTGTAGTCTGGTAGAAGTTTACAAACATTTGTTAGTAGATTGTAGAGTAAGCCAAGCAAAGAAGCTTGTGCCTTGCCCCGTCCTCCCCACATAATCTTTCAGTTTATTTTGTGTGTTTATTCTCTCATAACATGTGATTGACATTAGTAAATGAAAGAATAAGATAATTTGTATAGTGTATCTGATTGTGAGGGCAGTCACATAAATGAATTGATCTTGGAACATTATTGCTCTTCCAGTTGAACTTCTGTACAAATTTATTTGATAATGAAACTTCCTGCCTGTTTGGCAGTGTGAATGACCTGTTTGCTGATAAACATGGGTTGTGGAATGCTGAAATTATTACATTCTATGTAAGATATAATTCCAGGAAGAAACTGCCACTCCCGTTCTTTAAGTTTGCTTTCTTACTAAGTATCATAATGTGTAGAAATCCCACTGTCTTTTGGCAACAAGATCGTGCTGTTATAGCATATTTAAGAATAAACTCGTTCAGTTGAGTTTCTCTACAAATTTATTTGATAATGAAAACCTACATGCCCTTTTGGCAATGTGAGTGACCTGTTTGCTGGTAAACATGGGGCGATATGGAATGCTGAAATTATTACATTCTATGTAAGATATAATTCCAGGAAGAAACTACCACTCCTGTTCTTTAAGTTTACTTTCTTACTAAGCATAACAATATGTAGAAATTACACTGGCTTTTGGGAGGCAGATGCTCCTATTATAGCAGTTCATTTTTAACTATAGACTGTGGGTTCTTACAGCATGTTAATTCAAGTGCCACCACCTGTGTCCAGATTTTTACAATACTGTTATTTCATATTAATTATTAATGTCTTTTCATCTGTAAAAAGACAGTGAGTGCAATTCATAGTTCACTTTATTTTAAACTTAATTTTTCCAGTAGTAATATATTCCTTGATTACAATCTTCTATGGTGTGGCGTCATGTACTTTCGTAGGTGGGTATCAGTGAAGAGGAAGTAAGAATGGGTATTATTTTCTGTACAAGCTAGAAGAAACCAAGTGCAGACTGAATAATTCAGTCTTATACCCACGAAACCTTGAGCATCATGAAAACGATGTGAAGAGTTGTCACGTAAGAAACTGATGTGTTCCATATCTCTGATTCATGATTTGGAAGACGGGTTTGTCATGAACATATTTTTGTAGCATGCTACTGTTATAATTATAGAATCAGCATCCATTTGTTTTTAAATTTTCCAGTGAAGGTTTGGGTAAAAATAAACTTTTTTTTTTTGGTCTCCTTGTTTCTTTATTACAAGGTGGTTCAAATATGACTGGGACTGATTTGTGTGTAAACCAAGCCGCACTGCACAGCAGCTGTGCGACCTTGAGAGAGTGAAGCCACAACCTCCACCCTCCCTCCTGTAAGGGTTAGAACCTGTTCAGTCCTGTCTGGGAATTGCTAGAGTGATGAGTGAACAGAAGGTACCGTGGAGCGTGGAACAATGCATTGTGATCAAATTCCTCGCTGGAGAAAACGTCCTGTCCGCTGAAATTCACCACAGACTCCAACAACAGTGTGGGGAAGAGTATCTCTCACGGACCCGTGTGTTGGAGTGGTGTAAGTGCTTCAGAGAGGGCAGAGAGCGCGTGGAGAATGAACTGCATGATTGTCGGCCGCGAACATCTGTCACCAAGCCAAACATTGATGGTGCAGACGTGCTTATTCGTGATAATAGGCGCATCACTATAAAGGAAGTTGGAGCAATGCTGTCCATCAGTGTTGGTAGTGTAGAAGACCTCGTGAAATACCACCTGCACTATCGCAAGGTGAATGCACGGTGGGTACCATGCACTTTGACGGATGTGAACAAAATGGTGCACATGCAAGCTGCCAGTCGTCTCCTACAGCAGTTTGAAGATGGCAGTGATGCATTTTTGAAGTCTATAGTGACCACCAATGAAACGTGGGTGCATTACTTCATTCCCGAGTCCCAGCAGTCATCACACGAGAGGTGGCATACCAGTTCTCCCAAACCCAGGAGAGCACAGAGGAGCCGTTCAGCAGGAAAAGTGATTGCAACGTTCTTCTGGGACTGGCAGGGTATCCATGTAGACTTTCTGACAGATGCCAGAACAGTCAATGCAGCTTATTACTCAGACCTCCTGGCAACAGACGGGAAGGAAAAGTTCTGATCCAAGTGGAAGACAGGTTGAAAGCATGTAGCCTTCCTTCAAGACAATGCATGCCCCCATACGGCCAAAACAACAATGGAAACCCTCCGGAAATTGAAATGGAACCTTCTGACACATCCGCTGTACAGTCCCGATTTGGCCCCATGTGATTTCTACCTGTTCGGAAGGCTCAAGTCAGATTTGCAAGGCATGCGGTTTGTGGACGACGCCATCATCCAGACTGTTTGGGAGTGGATATGCCGCCAACCACAAGCGTTTTTTGAAAAGGGCATTAGGATGCTTCCAGAACGTTGGAAAAAATGTGTTGACTCCGGAGGGGAGTACATTGAAGACTGACATGTGCAAGTAAGTGTCTGGCAATTATGGTTTTTAAAAAAAATCAGTCCCAGTCATATTTGAACCACCCTTTACTTATATAGAGGAAAGATACTCTAGGTTCCTTGAAAACATGTCATTCAAGCATCTATGACTAACTTTACAGAGCCAAGAGTATGCATATCTTTTATGAAATAGACAGTTACAGTAGTTTAAGGTTTTCGTTTTTTATATATCAGTATAAGGTCTAAGATCAAACTCCATCACATAATTCAAGCACTTGTGGAGCATGATCAGTGAAAACACTATTTATGCTTATGTACGTATGCATATTAATTAATTGTCAAACTACAAGTTTCCTTACTGCTAATACAGAAGCCTGGTGATCATAGTCCTGAGGTAGTTCAATCGGTTTTATAGTAGCGTTACACTATTTCTCAAACATCTATCCTGTATATGCCTAGCTCTCTTAGGTGGTTTTATCCTTAAGGTATGTATGTGTTCCCTGTATGCTATGTACAATTTCATGTATTTGAACATGGTGAGAGATTTAAATAGCAGCTGGGCATCAGCTGGCTCAAGTTTTCCATAGTTTTACTCATTCCACAAAGGAAAATGGTGATGTAGTAATTAAAGTAGGCCATGGTCAGTTCCTTCTGTTTTTCCAGTTTCTAATCATTTTGCTATTTAATACAAATTTCTATAACTTCTAAATTGACAAGGAAAGATAAATAAACCAAGACAAAACTACCGCCTCAGCATTCTTTTATTTAATCATCCTAATACATTTTTAAGAAGTTTTTCAAAGAAATTTTTACAGAAAAACTTCTAAGACCTTTTTGTTTATTGTTTAGAAGTGTGTCATAAAACTGGCCTTCTCATAGGTAATATGTTACATATGTGTGTAGGCTGTATTGTTTGGGTTTGTAAGTTTGCAGATCTCTTGTTTCCAGTCTGTATGGGCTGTTAGTGCTACATACACAGTTTTATCTCTGTCTTGTTTATCTATCATGATATTCTGCTTATCTGCACTGTTGCAGGCTATCAGTAAGCAGAAAAAGGAGGATGATGTAGATAAAGATGGCTTCTATCCTACACCACCAGAGTCAGTTGGAGAACAGAGCCAAGGTATGGTTTGTTTGTGCACCTGACTTGCATTGTGATTACTGTAGGTAGAGGTGTGAAACATTGAAGGTCACAGGTTGTTGGCTGTTGCTCTTAGCACTAGGCTGTGTATGTCAAATGAAATTATATCATATACGTCTACGTGTGAGTTAGGAGGACGGTGCATGTTTAGAATTTCTGATTTAGATAATATTATTTATTCTGCAATGAAATCATTATTCAGGAAGCATTACGAACGAAACAAACGGAATAATGTGGCTGTTAGAAATCCAGTGATTCCAGTAGAAAGTGAAATTAATGTAGCTGTTGAGAAAAGGTCACACACTGAACCAGGTGACGTACCAAGCAGTGGGAAAAACATATCTGAGAATAATGTGTTACAAAAGGGAAGTCTGAATATACTGAATGAAAGTGTTAACAGTCACGAAGATGATGGCAGTAATGTCTTGAAGCAAGTAGCTGAATGCAGAAATTATCAGCAGATGCAGCCAAACATTGCCGCAACTAAAGACTGTGCAGTTTCTGCAGAAAGTAGTAGTAGTAGTAGAGCAACAGCTGGGAGAAGATCGCACACTGAAGGAGATGAGGCATGGAGCAGTAGAAGTGTATCTGAAAGTCATTTATCACAAATTCCAAATGGACGCATTGACAATCAGAAACATGGTAGCAGTAATGTCCTAAGGAGAATGGGTGACTTGCAGATTAAGAGTGAAACATTTAGCCAAGCACAGTTTGAAAATGAAGATCTTGCACATTGGAAACCCGAAAAGGATGGCATGGAATTGAGAATGTCTGCTATTGTAAGGTGTCAGAGAAATCAAAATGCAGCACCTACAAGAGGTTTTGTGGCAGTACCAAAGAAAGTTCGCATTTGGGATGGTAAGTACATAATATACATCATTCTTAATAATAGCCCTCTTATTTAACAAAATAAGTAATATTCACTTACTCAAGAACAGTTTGTTTGGCTGACCTTGTTTCTGGAACTAATGCAGTGCCCTTGCACATTTATTTGATTCAGTTAATTAAAGTTGTACACGCAGGACTCTCACCATTGAACCTGCTTAACCCAAACAAAGCATGGTATCCTGTTCAAGGTTTCAGTAGTATCTTTATGCATCTGATTTATGTTTGCTTGTAAACAGCTCTTCTAATCATTTTTTGCAATTTATTGAGTGTCTGAATCCACTCAGCAGGAGTATTTTTCTTCTTCTATTTTTAGCATCTGTAGCTGCAGGATTGTTTTTAAGATCTGATAATGTATGTGAGGGAAGTAAAACTTGTGAAGGCAAGGGAAGGGAAGTAATGCTTATGATCAGTGTGGTGTCATAGTGTTCAGTGGCTGATTGTTACCAGTTATTTATAATTTTCTGTGTGCATGTTCTTATGAAACATTCTGGCAAACACAGGGGAAGAAGTGAAGAGGCAATACATTGTGCTAATAATTATGGTTTACAGTGTTCAATGATGGATTTTTACTAATCATGGGCAATTTCTGCATTCATCTTGTGTGAGAAAGTCTCAGAGATGCAGCGAAATAAGCCAAGCAGGTGATGCATGTTGCTGATGAATATTATATTGTAGTGTTTTTTCAACTTTCTGCTTCTTTTTGTTTCAACATTTCATACTTTGAGCAGAGCTCTGAACCACAATCAGTGAAGTGCACACATATATTGGTTGATTTAGCAAGTGCACAGGATGGTCCTAAGAATGATATGATGATGTTGACACAGAAGAAGGGTTCAAAGCTAATCCATTTGAAGATTCATCATCCAAAGAAAATTAAGATAGTTTAGAATGATACCATAAACTTCCTTCTGATAAGACAGCTGTGTACAGCTATGTGTGGCAGCAAAATGGACTAAACAAAGCCACTGTCCCCAGTATTTCTTAAAATTCATGACAAGATTTCTTTATGCTGTGTTTTCAGACCATTCTACCAGTTATTGTACAAGAGACCAATCACTGTATGCAGCAGGATGCCCAAACAAGAACAAAGAGATTTCCAAGCAAATGAGCCTGAATGACCTATATGCATTTCTTGCATGAAACTAGTATGAAACTATGTTGGACCAAAGATGAATTTTATTATGTTCCTCTCTATTCCAGTGTGATGCCACATGATCCCATATCAGTAGTATGAAAACTTTCATTTTGTGGGAAATCAGAAGCCATCAATACTAGAAAGGAAAGTTTCTGATTACACTGGGAAAGAGAGACGCATGGCAAACACAGATGTAACAGTCACAACATGGGTCATATTCAAACTGATTCAGATAGCCAAAGGAGTTGGGTGCAAACTATTCATTGACAACCACTTTATCTCTCTGAAATTTTTATTGATCTCTGCTAGAGGTAAATCAGTGCATGTGATACATTTCATGACAACAGGAAGTAGATGCCACATAATTTCACTCCTAAACATCAGGAACCAAAATGAGGAGACATGGTATCCAGAGTACAAGGAAACGCGTATTTATTTAATTAAAGAATAAACAAGAAATATATGCCATTTATAATGTGCATATTCCTCATGCAGATAATGACTTCGAGGAAGGTGGGAAAGCTATGAAGCTCGTTGAGAATTACAGTTTGCTGAATGACATCATCCCCTTAACCTTTAACATATGGACTTTTAAATTGCTGGCAGCCCTCTGTGGCCAGAATTTAAATCACCCTCAGTCTTTAACATTGCAAACTTTCAGAAAAGAAACTACATATTTTCCGTTCTATGCAACATAGCAAAACGAACTAAAAACAAAGCAAAATACAATAAAATTTTCTACATATACACAAAAGAGCAATTTTTAAAAACGAAAATTAACTGTGATTATTTCGTCATGAAATGCAAAATATAATCTTTATTGTGTTATGAAATTCCAGAGGACTTACCTGTAGTTTTTTTTTTTTTTTGAACTTGAGACTTGGTGATATTGTAAATATAATCACACTATATACAGTAATATTTTGTTCAGACTGTATGTGAGTTTGAACTGCGTCACTTCACAATTTATGATACCTCACACTCTGACGTGCGTGTGCCACTTCTTGAAGTAGTCCGCGACACACAGTGCAACATCACACTTTTTACAATAGAAAATGGTGCTCTTGCTTTCCTTATTTAGCGAACACACATGACAGCGGGTTTGTTTCCCCTTGGTTTGCCAGTGTTATGAATGTTTCACCTCCAGTCGACTCAGTTGGTCCCCAGATAACCTTGGCCTCCCTCAAGAAACGCCACTGACCATGATATTTGCCTTGTGCGATTGAAGAATCATCTTGGGGGAAGGGGGTTTCCAGCAGAATCAGATAAGTTATGTTGATTGACAAAGCGACACACTCACCTGTTAGTAATACTCGCACAATAGTGATGCAGAGTAATTATAATACTAGTCGAAACGAGCGCCAGTCTGACGCTGATACCGAAAGTCACAGTGGCGAAGATGCCTTTTACTCACAAAGTAATACTGGCTCAGTAGGTTTATACATACATACATACATACATACATACATACATACATACATACATACATAGCATTCCATAGATCCATGAGTTAGTCAGATGACCTACCGGATGTGGAATTAGTCAAAAATCATACAATACATATATACATGCACAATTCAAGTTCACATAAATAGTAAGGATTTCACAAAAGTAGTAAAATATCCATCATAAATCCATACATTAACATATACTAGTTTTTTTTTTCTGTGTTCCAAACAAGAGAAAACATTACATACACTTTATGTTGTTTGGAAGCATAAATTCCTCAACAGAGTAAAAGGAGTGTGTAATTAAGTATCTCTTTAGTGCTACTTTAAATTGTCCCTGTTTATCTATAAGAGTTGTGATATTTGGTGGTAAATTGTTGAAGATTTTAATGCCAAAAGACAAAATAAAAATGATATATAAAGAAATATATGAGTCTGATACTGACTTTTTAAATGATAAAGAGACATAAGATAATTCAGTACTGAAAACCATTCCTTGAACACTTCACACTTTCTTGAAAGCTCTTCAAGGGCACAGATGAATATTTACTCCTCAAGTTCTCAAAACACAGCTGGGCTCTATTTGGCTAACCAGGTCATAGACAGTCATATCTAGACATAAATAGTATCCAGTACTGTGATAAATGATTTCATTGTTCAGAGCTAAGGAATGAACCACTGACATGACCTTGCATGGGTTTGTTTTGGTTTCAAACCCAAGATCAAACTGTCATCACTCCCAAAGAGAGCAGTGTCATACCTCATATAAATATAACATTCAGCCATAGTGGGGTTCTGCTTGCTGTAGATTTATATAACATGTGTCCCTTAAAGGTTAAATGACATAGTAACACTGCAGGATTTTATTACAACATCTGAAGGCAGTTTTTAGAGGCTGAAGCCATTTAGCAGAACAGTGAGCCCAACGTCACTGTACTCTTAACTGCCATTGTCGCACTGTTCAGCTAAATGGCTTTTAACAGGTGCAAATGGGAACAGTTGTGTGATGATTGTTGAATATATGCAGTATAATAATTCCATCAGCACTGTTCACTGTGTTGTTTTGCTGTACTGTAGCATACATGTTTAGCATCTGCTGATTGTCTTCAGTTATGTTGCTTCTCCTAGTTTATATATGACATCTCTTACACCATCATTTACTGCTTCTCATCTTGATTGAACATATTCCATTTTTAAAAATGATTAAGATATTTGTAATGAGGAGTTTCATAACTTTTATTCTCTTCCAAGTATAATTGGAATGATCAAGTCAAGGAGGATGAGGTGAGCAGGGCATGTAGCACTAACGGGGGGAGATGAGGAATGCATATAGGATATTGGTGGGAAAGCCAGAAGGAAAGAGACCACTGGGATTACCAAGACATAGGTGGGTGGACAGTATTAAAATGGATCTTAGAGAGATAGGATGGGATGGTATGGATTGGATTGATCTGGCTCAGGATAGGGACCAGTGGAGGGCTCTTGTGAACATGGTAATGAACCTTGGGGTTCCATAAAATGCTGGGAAATTCTTGAGTAGCTGCAGAATTGGCAGCTCCTCCAGAAGGGCTCAGTTCCATGAGTAAGTAAGAAAGTTAAGATATTTGTAATGTCTTCCAAATTTATTCTAGAGTAAGATATTTGTATTATCTTCCAAATTTTTTCCAGAGTTATTGAAATCCACATTAAATTCACAGAAAAAGAGTACAGTGTTGTTAAACTTCCTTTTAATTTTATTTATTTATATTTAATTTAAATATACCACAGTGACTGTGTTAATAGAGTGCAAAGAGGGTGTATTTTACAATACTGTACTGAGCACCTTCATTGTGGCAGATATGTTTTGTAACTTGTGGAGAGTATGAATAAATATGTTTGTACTCAGTCCTCGATAGGAGGAAGGTGACATGTTTACAAGATTCTATTGAAGTTTGTAAAAATTTCCATGAGCTTCATTTTGTAAAGCAGTTATACAGCAGGAATATCTTACCATGTCTAAATAGAACCTTATACTGAGTAAGATGACACAGCTGTCACGTGTTTTTTTTATTCAGTAGTTATCCTGTTTGATTCTCTGCCAAAGAAATGACTGACTTTTGTTGTTGTTGTTCATCATCATCAGATGATCAGATACTGAACTGACTGACTTGTGTTGTGTCCATGCTGAATCTCTATAGCCCTCCAATAGTTCCTTAACCATGGGCCTGTTGTTAGTTCTTCATAAGTCATTTGAGTGACAGTGTGAACTTCAGTCTCCATGAAGTTATGTTGCTTTATTTCTGATGATTTGATGTGTGAATGGAATGTCACCTCCTTCATTAGCAGGTGTAGGGGGAGGGGCAAGTCACTCATATCATGAATTCTTGTTATAATATTTTCTTTTATTTTTTATCACTTTTTGTATCATACATTTGAGTGTTCATGTCACATATGCGAAGGCTTTTCTTTGTTTGGAGTGATAGAGAAAAAATCACTTTCTTGCAAGTGGCATGAAAACCACACAGCTTGTTATTATGTATAAAGATTTATCTCTGTCCTGTTAAATTCAGGCGTAACTTCCATTTCTGCATTGAACTCACTTGTTTTCTCCCACTGCCCCCCCCCCACACACACACACACACACACGATGTATATGAAACCTTGAGAGAGCAGTGAGTGAGTATGTAATGTAGTGGGAGGCTCTCTCTCTTTATTGTGTCAGCTGACTAAGCAAAGTTTGGTGAAAGTAAACACATGAAGTTCATGGGTGTGACCACTGGCTTAGTCATCACCTGTTTTGTAGCTGTTACACAACACAGCCTGTACTATTTGTTGTTGGTCTGCTGATGCAGTTGACATGCTGGAATCACAAGTGAGATACCCACACTGTCTTCTGGAACATGCCAAGTTGTATGTGGAAAGTATTTTTGGTACTTTGCAGGTTTAAATACTTGAGGTTGCATGCCAGATGGAAACTTTATAAACATAACCATCAGATTAACTAATTAATAAACCCACCATTGGACTGAATGTTAGGCATTTTATTTTATTTCACATCTTGACTTCTGATTTATGTATAATTTCTCTGAGATGCATTTCTGTCTTAACCACTCCATTCTGTTGTCTTTCTTGAATAGTTGATTGTTTTTCATCTGGTCAAGAAATGTCCTATTTTTAAATCAGGGTTACAGAATTCCTGCCATTGGACCCTATCCTGAACTAGTTCAGTCCTGAAGAAAGCAGTCTTCTGGGATGTAGTGCCATCTAGATATTGTGTTAACCGATGTTTCGGAGGAACATATCGCCTCCATCTTCAGGGTAGAAGAAAATAGAAGAAAATCTGCAAGCAAGGAACCGGCATGAGCAGGTGCTAACAGACTAATTCTTTTTTCTTCTACCCTGAAGATGGAGGCGATACGTTCCTCCGAAACGTCGGTTAACACAATATTTACATGCTGCCACATCCCAGAAGACTGCTTTCTTCATAGTCACCACCGTGAAAACCTCAAATCTTACATAGTTCAATCCTGTTCACATCTTTGTATTCTGTTGCTCTAAATTCCATTTAAATAACAATGTTAGTGGAAACATTGTGGGCATGCTTTTCTGGATTTCTTATTATCATGTAACATTTCAGATTTGGATACAAATATTGAAGTCAGAGAAGAGCAATATGAGATCCACATTGAACGAACAGCTGCCGGCCTTGGTCTCTCAATAGCAGGTGGCAGGGGTTCCACTCCTTTCAAAGGAGATGATGAAGGAATCTTCATCTCAAGGGTATCTGAGGGTGGACCAGCAGACCTTGCAGATCTCAGGGTATGTAATTTAATCATCCATTTAATTAATTACTGATAAATGACACAATATAACAGATTTATCAAATAACCTACTTCTGACAAAAATTGGGTATGTGTCTAGAATGTGATGACATACAGAATTGTTTATTTCTTTTTTATGCAAGGCATGTGAACATACAGACCATAAGCATAAACTTTTATTCACCAAAAAACATAATTTTCTGATAGGGCATGGTGGATTACAATTTCAACATGAATCACATGTCGTGTTTGAGTTTGTGGCTGTCGTTCATTGTATTTGGGAGGTCCCTGTTTAAAATTTTTATGATTTCTGTGTTTTTATTCAGTCCTCCAGGCAAAATGGCAAAATAGCATCTGAAATGAGGCTACAACATTTGAAGGATACAGTGTTTGTTATGGGTAAAGTGGGAATTGTGACTGCTGTATGTGTATTTTGCTGTATTTTGAGTGTGACACACTAAGGCAATTTCAAATGTATCCATATAGCCACTAGTAAATGTGTCACATGGACTTACTATAGTACCCTGAAACAATTTTGTGTAATATTATGGGTGCACCAGTGCCTTTGTTTTTTAGTGTACAGTAATCCCACCAGGTTCTTCGAAAGAAGGATGAAAGCACACTGACCTTATCACAGTGGGGTGAACATAAGTGTATGTTGGTACATGCATGCAAGCTTACGTACGCACATACATACATACATACATACATACATAAGCATGCACACACATTCTCTCTCTTTCTCTCTTCCTCCCCCTCCCCCCTACATTCCATGGATCCATAGTTGGTCAGAAATGACCATAGGATGTTTAATAAGTTAAAGTGTGTGATAACCTGGATATTATTGAGGCTGCACATAGAGTCTGTGCTGTAAAATTGCAACCTGTATACACATAAAGGCATGAAAATCTGCTGTAAACTACATGTATATTTACGCTGTTTTCTTGCCAGTTATTGAACCATCAAATGTCTCATACTGATCATATTGCTGGAAAAAAGAAAAGCATGTTCTGAATTGAGCATTTACTGTATTATATACATGCTGTGTGATGAGATGATTATGGTGATATATTGATTGTGTGATTGATCGATTTTGATGCAGTTTTATCTTACTTCCAATATTTGAAAAAGATAAAACCCATCATTATGGAATTTAGTACTTATATGATGCCACCTGTGCCCATCTCAATGGCATACAACATAAATTCCTCCCATCAGTAATACCAACATTGTAGCCTCTCAGATTTTTGAGGTAGTACCCTGAATCAATCATCTTGAGACTTCGTGTGTATGGCATGCCACCTGAGGCCATCTCTGTGTTGCACACTTCATAAATGACTCCAATCACAAATGCAAACACTGCAGCCCCCCCCAATAATATTTTTGTATTGACTTCATTATGCATACTTACTAAAATTTTCTTTCTATTTATGGCATCAGAGACTCAAATTGCAGTGAAAGGAAAGTAGGTAATTAGTTTTTCCAAAAAATTATTGTTAGTTTGTCCTTTCAGACCCAAATACTTAGGGAGGTATAGGCTCTTGCCCCCCCCCCCCGACATTCGTGCGATTGAGAAATTAAAAGTAAAATATTTCTGTCAGCTTCACAATTATGGGTAGTCATTGGTCATCATTTAATTTGATTTTAAATGGTTAAATGGAAGAGTTTTACATCGTGTTATGTCATATTTCTTTTAGGTGGGTGACAAAGTGCTGTCGGTAAATGGCCATTCTTTGGTTAATGTTGATCATTATGATGCTGTAGAAGTGCTGAAAAAGTCAGGTTACAAACTGGTGCTTGTGGTGACAAGGGAAGTTCCAAGACTTGTTCCTGTTACAACAAAGGTAGGTATATTGGTTTTCTGGTAAATATGTAACAGCAGATTGTCTGTTCACCCATGTGTTTGTGCATGTCCCCATTTGATTCTCTTCAAGTTGTGATGTAGTTGAACAATTTTCACTCAATTTTATGTGAGTATATATAGTTGAATACCACCTAAAACTTTTAGTTTTTACTTAACCAGCATTCAGTAATAACATCACGATGTGTGTGAGATTGGAGCAACATGAACACTGCTTAATGTAGGTTCCTGAAATTATGTAATAATAAGTTCTTGATACATGTACAGTTTTGTAGAGTATTTTTTTTTCTTTTTGTATGATGTAATAGAACACTGTAACAGCTGTTTGAACTTTTTAAGTTTGACATGGATGGCACACTATTTCAACTGAAATTTGATATGAAGATGAATTGTGAATGTACCCTTATGAATTGTATATGAAATATTGTTTACAAGTGGAATGTTATAAACATAGTGAAAGTATTATGAGGTTATGTCCGACAAATTGAATACAGTTAGAATGCACATTTAAATAGTCTCTCCCTTGATCAAATCTATATCGTCGTCAGCAGTGGCACTGTCACTGTGAGTGTGATTGTAAATAATATAAAAATACCACCATGAGTAGGATTTGAGGTTTTCATCTTTCTGGAAACTCAGCAGATAAACATGCTGAGCCAGTGTCTAAATTTAATTTCATGGGTGGGTAATGGATTACATTTCATGAATATAACGTTCACAGCACAAAATTTATAAGACAGGAAGTCCTCATAATTCAGAGTAGGTTTTATTATGGATTCTACATGGAACTTCTTTTATTCCTCAATTATTTTGACTCACTTTTGTTTAAAGTTATTGTCTAGTTTAAGACCAGAGAACGCATTTGTCACCAGAGGTGAGTGAGTAGCTTCTGAATGAATGAGAAGGAAAACAGTGTGACAATGTGTGTGACAATATATACAGCAAGAACTTGACATAGAAAAGTGGGAGACAGATGAAGAGAGACAGAGAAAATGGAGGATAGAGTGTGAATGAAATAATGCTGGAGAGAGATCAGATTAGTGGAAAAAATAAAGTGGTTTGTTTGTTATCATATGAAACCTTGTACCCAAGAGAGGTAGAAAACCAGGAGAGAAATTAAGGAGGTAGTACAAACAAGAGGTAAATGGCACATGCAAGAGAGTGAAAGAGAAAAATCATAGCAGGTGCTCTTTTGCATGTGCCATTCTCGAAACCTTCAGTAATTAGAATAAAGTGATTATGTTGTGCATTCTGAATTCATTTCACTTTCACTTTATTTTAAATTCCACAGATCCTTTCAGGTCACACATGCCATAGGATATAGAACATGTCAAAATACATAAAAACAATGGACCCATCAACATGCAATACAGTCACAGTACAAAATTTGTACATATTCGTACATGCCATGGGGGGCACGTGGTAGCGTAGTTGGTTGAGGGGCTATGCTACAAGCCGAAGGTCGCGGGTTCACATCCCGATGAGGTCTTTGGATTTTTTTCAATCGACCTAATCCTTCCAGTCACACAATAGCCCTGGGGTTTACTCTGCCTCTAACAGAAATGAGTACCAGGAATTAATTAAATAATTTTCAAAGGGAGTGAAGCGCGGCCAGCCTGTAAGGCTGACAATCTTACCGCCATCTTTGAGCTGATTGTCTGGATAATGTGGTACCCTCAACGTCTCACAACCCTGTGGGCCTTCACGGCCTGTTACAGGGATAGTTTTGATTTTTTTTTTTAACATACATCCCATGTTTCAAAACCCCATTTGGATCACTCGTAAATGTGTTTTAAGATTACAGCGTCTTTTTCTCCCAGAATTCATAATACTTTTCAGAAAGGGTGTTTCTGTATGTAGAGCAAGTATCATGTAAAATAAGGGTACATATGCTCAGTGTACATTTATTTTGTGGTTGGTATATATATAACATCTAAACTCCATATGAAACACCGTTTATCAGAGAATTCTAAAAACTTCTACGTGTAAAACTTAGCAAAATATATTGGAGATGTTTTCTTTTCTTGGTTTCTGAGCAGTCAGTCAGCCATATTGTGTTTTGTTTTCTTCAGCTTCCTGATATCACTTCATCTCCGTCCCCTGGTTCCACTCCCACCTTCAGGCAACATGGTGCCACTTCCAACCTGGATTCTGCTTGCTCAAGCCTTGGCACAAGTCGAGCTCCAAGTGCAACTTCTCATGTGTCAGCTACAACTTCAGGGTTTGAAAGTGCAAGCAAAGGGGAAAATGGCCAAGTTTCTGGAGATCATAACCATGAACATAAAACAAAGGTGAAGTGAAAGAAATGCTGAATTTTGTACTCCACATAACTTCATATATCACAACACCAGCTCATTTTATTAAAGCGTTGTTTCACTGGAAAGTTGTGTAATGAATGAAAAGTGTTTTAGAAAAATGTGAATTTCATGTTAGTTGAAAAGTATAGTATTGAGACAAGTGAAGTTCAAGGACTTCTATTTTTCTGCATTTTGGAATCTTTATAGACATGTGGTAAAACTTGTTGGGTAGGGGAACTGACTACCAGGTCTTTAACTACACAGAACAGTTCAGACACACAAAGCCTGTTGACATACATGAGAGGCGTGAGTATGGTTTGAATCCACGATCACAGTGTTTGGGTATAGAAGACAGTACATGTCCGAGACTGCACAATCATTGGAATGCTACAGTTACATCCAAGCTTTTTGTTTCTTGTAGTAATTGATCCTAGAAAGGACAATGAAACTTCATCTCAGTGACGTAAACATTTTACATGGAAAGGGTGTTAGTCTCGGACACACACAGATTTGTACATTGTACATTATATTGATTTCAGAATGAAAAATATTTTAATTATACATGAAAATATTGCTGTTTCTTGATGATTGCAGTGGCCCTGTGATCTAAGATGCAAATGACCTTGGTTCACTTGAACATTTGGAATATGGGTTCATGTTCCACTTCAGGGCATGGCAGTCAACAAGTATTGTTTCCTGCTCAAAAATGAAATTCTGCCAAATGACTAAAGTATTTACGTCTTCCATTTTCTTTCTTCTGTATAAGCGGAAATGGTTTGATCAACTTTATAATTCTACAATATATGTGAATAAGCGTTACAGAAAAAGCCCCATAATAGAAAGACCCAAGTCGAAATTGGTCTCAAGTTCAGTGAAAAATTTTATCAGCATATGAATCTTCTCCGATTTTTTTTTACATTTTTTGTGTTTCAAAAAAATGATGAACTTGTTCTGTTTTGCCAGCCTCAACTCGCCAAGAAGATACCCGAACCAATCAAGACGTCAAGAGATGTTGAAACGCGAAAGCAAACTGTCCACACAACGTTAATCAGAGACCAGAATGGCCTTGGGTTCAGCATATCTGGCGGCAAAGGATCTCCACCTTATAAAGACAAATCAGATGTAAGGAAGTATTTAATTTGATCTAGTTGAAAAGTCTTTTTAGAAATTCAGCAATAAAGTGTTATAAAGATTCTTTACCTTCTTCTCACATTTCTCCTGTATTCCTTTCATGTCCATTTTATTTGTACTAGCTGTGAAAGTATGTACTGGTTGAGGCCACTTGATGATTAATGTCATGTGTCAAGACACTGGCAGTAACTACAGTGCAAGGCACAATAGATCACTGTGGTCGCGTTGCAAGGGCCAAGAAGGCCCGCCCCTTTTACATTCTTCATTTGTTCATTCAACTACAGTGTATGTGAATTTATAACATGCACAGTCATGAACTGTAACCTGTTATGTATATAAATATAGGTCATTTCAAGGATTTTCTACTAAAGCTACAACTGTTTTTAGTAAAATAATTTTGCATTTTTTGTTAGTTTGTAGAAAAGTGCCAGGTTTCAGTAGAAATTTTTGTACAGATCATTGCACAGCCAGCGTTTTTCAGTTTGAGCTTGCTTCTCTTCCCTCTTACAGCATTTAACTTCTGAAGTGCATGCATTATATGAAGTTTAAGTTGTCTGTATATAAGGTTTTCCTTTAATTGGGAGCTTTAAATTTTTACCGTAGTGATCTAATCCAACAGAGTATTATGGTTCGGTCATGTAGCACACACTGAGAAGAAATGCGTGCAGAAGTTTAGTTGGACACATGAAGAAGGGAACTGTTTGGGAGACCTAAGTGTATATTAGAGAATAATATTAAAATGGATTTTATAAATAAGGTGTAAGGATGTGGACAAGATGGAACTGACTTAGGATAGAGCATTTCTTCCAGGTGGTGGTAGCTCCTAGAGCAGTATGAATTGTTTAAAAGCACTGTAAGTATGAAATGATTAAATGGTTTAGACTAGGATGCTGATGGGGAAAGTGTTGACACATTGAGTACTGAATTTAAATGCCCCTTCCTACTCTCAGTCCTTGGGCCTTTATTCAGATAAAGAAATACTGTACATGCATTTGTGAAAGAATCATGTCTTCACTTTTACTTGGAACTTGTAGAGTACCTTTGGTTTATACATCAGCCTAAACTTGGATAGGAAGTAGTCAAGAATAGAGTTGATTTTGAAGGGTCCATTTGAATTTACTTGTATTTCTTTGTGGTTGTCACTGAAATACTGCTATTGGCATCAGTTCAATGACAAAGTTGGGATTTGTCAGGGGATTTTGGACACTTAATCTTTGCCCCTTCCCATCCTGTTTTATGCTGTTGTAACTTGGCCATAAGCAGAATTGTTCAAGGAACTTTTTTATTTTTTATTTTTTATTTGGTCAGATATATCTATCGAAGATTGTGCCAGTCTGTTTCTTTACGTAGTGTCTCACACAGTTCATTCCCATATATATGTGGTGTGTTCAGAAAGCATCAAACCTTCTTTTTTCCCGTGTAAATCAGTGAAGCGCGGGAGGCTCCCTTCGGTGGAGATGTGGGGGGGACATTCATGCGCAGTCATGAATTTTTTCCCGCCCGCAGAAAGCGTCAGTCGCTGGCAGTTGGCCTATGAGTGAGGACGTGTAGTGAGCGCTCGTCGGATTCCAGTAAGGTGTAAATGACAGAACAACATGAGCAGAGATATTGCATCAGATTTTGCCAAAAGCTTGGCAATACCCAAGTGGAAACCATTCACAAGATTCAACAGGCTTTCGGGGACAATGCCATGAGCAACTCATGGATAAAGGAGTGGTACAACCGCTTCAAAGATGGCCGCACATCAGTGGACAGCGAACTGCGTTCAGGCAGACCCTCAACAAGCTGAAATGAGAATGTCATTGCGCAAGTGCGGACTTTGGTCATGGAGGACCGTCGTATCACAGTCCGAGAACTTGCGAACGAGATAGAGGTAAGCATTGGATTGGTACATTCAATTTTGACTGAGGATTTGGGCATGAGGAGAGTGTCCGCGGAATTCGTACCGAAACTGCTAACAATGGAGCAGAAGCAACGCCATCTGGAAATCGCACAGGACATGCTGGACAATGCAAACAGTAACCCCAACTTTCGGACCACCGTGATCACAGGCGATGAGTCATGGGTTTATGGGTACGACCCGGAAACCAAGATGCAGTCACGGTGGAAACATCCGACATCCCCGAGGCCAAAAAAAGCACGGCAGGTCCGCAGCAATGTCAAGGTCATGTTGGCCGTTTTCTTCGACTTCCATGGGGTTGTGCATCATGAGTACCCTTCGTCGCCTTCGTGATGCTGTGCGGTGCAAACGACCGGATCTGCTGGCAGCAAAAACTTGGCAGCTACATCTTGATAACGCACCCGCCCATTCTGCGCATCTGATTCAGACTTTCGTCGTCAAACACAACATCCCTGTGGTTCATCAGGATCCCTTCTCCCTCGACATGGCTCTGTGTGACTTTTGGCTATTTCCCAAGCTGAAAATGCCGCTGAAAGGAACCCGATTTGAGTCTAGAGAAGACATCATGCGGAATGTGACGGCCCGGCTGATCACCATTCCAAAAGATGCGTTCCAGAAGTGTTTCCAACAATGGCAGAAGCGCTGGGAGAAGTGTGTGCGTTACCAAGGAGACTACTTTGAAGGGGATTAGGGTTTTGTACCACCAAATCAGTAAATGTATTTCTGCCGACCGAAGGTTCGATACTTTTTGAACACACCATGTATACACTATACTTATATACCATCACTTCCTAGAGCCACTAGTTGAAGCTGTTTGTTATGGTCTAAGTAATATTACTACCACTTCAACTGTTACTGGAATTGTTATTAGAGTCAACACTGCTACCCTCTTGGAGTGTTGCAGGTGAAGATTTAGTGCATTTCTAACACTGGTAACAATGTCCAATGGTTCAACACCACTAATATGGAACCTGCCATTGAGCAGTATCATGATATAGTTCATCCATTTCTGATTGTCATAACATGTCTTCTTATGACCTGTCTTATTGTTATCCTCCCATCCAACATTTTCCCAGAGGTTTCCTTGCTACAAGTTTGTATGCATTTTTTTATCACATAGATTTCCACCTATCGGTCGGTGGCAATATCAGAATATTATTTTTAGTCAAGAAGATTCTGAACATGTTTGCTGTTTTTCTCCAATTTAATGAAACCAGATACGGGTTTACAGGCTTGTAAGCAAGTCTTTATAAAGACAGAATAATAATATTTAGACATACCAATTTGAAAGAATTAAAGTTAAATAATATCAGTGTCCAGAACATACATTATACAGTTTTGAATACTTAAAAATATGCAGAAATAGTGCTAAATATCACGAAAATTACATCTGCACTAAACATGGCAATTCTCATTGTTGATACACAACAAATGGTGTGCGAGTCACGAAAACTACCACTATTGTGTGGTCTATTAAAGTTTTGGATAATGTCACAGTTTTTATAGTACTAATATGGAACCTTATATGAAGATTTTTTTTTTATTATTATTATATCAGGTGTCATAGTAAGAAGCACTGACCGATTTGTTTCTTTCCAGGCAATCTATGTTTCTCGAATCACAGAAGGTGGTGCTGCTGAAAAGGATGGAAAGTTGCTAGTGGGAGATAGGGTGATATCAGTATGTATTGCTGTCTCTTCTGTGGTTTTGTTAATAACGCTTGATGCATTGATGTGAAGTGCTTGGTGGCATGGTGGTCATATTTCTGGTCAGGGAACCCACCTGAAATCTCACCATGTTATATTCTCATTATTTCAGCTCAGGACGGAACACGCTCTGTTTCAGCACCAGTTTCTTTATTTTCATTCCGTGAGAGGGTTCCCGTGTTCATTGCACTTAATTCTGTCTATTCTGCGTGTAAACAGCTTTCTGCCTATGCACATGAGAGTAATGAAATCTTGATTTAAAGCTTATACGCACTGAGCGCTCTGAGAGTTAGTTTTAGATATATATGGAAAAACAGGGAATGTTACAAATATTGACACATGGTATTTGCATGCAGGCTTTTTATCTGTTTATAAAATAACAAAATGACATTTTGTATTATACTGCACTATCTTAAATAACATCTGCCTTTGTTAACCCTATGGTTGCTATGCCTTGCATGTTCGAGGCTAGAATAGGCTGTAGCATGAAATGCTTCAAACATGGGAGGTCACATCTGAAGGAATTTTATAGATTGCTTCTGGATTTGATTCATGGCTAACAAAATTCTGTCATAGTTTTCCTCCATCTGTCCAGTCAGATCCTGAGGCAGAATAATTGTTCATAGCCTTCATGATAGAGCTACCACTATATGCCAAGACCGGCAAGACCGGGTGTTGGAGGTTAACAATTTGAAAGGCGACCTTCAACCGAGTGGTTACTCTCAAGGCTTTATTGACTCGGTTATCAGGTCCAAGGGCGGTAGTCATCAAAAGAAAAAAGAGGAAAAGCCTCTTGGCACGGTGTACATCCCGTATGTCAAGGGAATCTCTGAGAAGTTCAAGCGCATAGGGAACCAGTACAATATTAGAACCGTCTTCAAAACTAAACACACTTTACGATCTTCGCTCGTGAGAACGAAACCAAAAAGGGATCCTCAACAGACGGCACAGTGCGTCTACAGCATTCCCTGTCAATGTGGCAGAAGCTACATTGGTGAAACAGGAAGACCACTGGCTGTTCGAATCCGTGAACACAAGCACAATCTTAAGCAGGGTCTTCTAGAGAAATCCAGGTTGGCTCAGCATGCATATGAAGAAGGTCACAGGGTCAGCTGGGATGAAGCTAGGATCTTGGAGATTGAAAGCAACAGTAGATACAGGAAATACAAAGAATCAGCTCATATGGCATGTTCATCCAATCCGATCAGCCAACCCAGTTTGGATATTTCTCCTATATGGATCCCCCTCATCAATGAAGAGGTTAACAAACCAAAAAATGTAATTTCATGAATATTAGTGGTTCCACTACTACTGCAAGTTTTTTTCCGGAGATTAGTCTGATTCCCGGAAGTCGCCATGGTGGCACGATTCTTTAACCATGCAGATAAGGCATGCTTTATCCAGTTTTTACTTTCGTTTTTAACTGAATTCATGGAATATAACCCATACTTCTGTTTCTTTACATTGTTGACAAGTGCATGTTTGGCACAAATTTTCTATCGTGTTTTTACTGCGATTTTATTCTTTCCTCCCACTGACGGAACCGGTTGTCGGTTGTTCATAGGTTGTTTCTACAGATCAAGGTTTGTCCAGTGATTGAGACTAGCTCTTTCTAAGGGGCCCAACTGAGTAGGTTAAACCTTCCCTATACACCTGAAGACGGAGACAGATCCAGTCTCCGAAACGTTGTGGTTTTTTGTCTTTTTTATATACCGGACGATGGGTGAAGTCCAAAATAAGCCAAAAGAAGTACAGAATAATACTTATCATTTATGATTCAACTTTCATAACCAACCTGTCTCATTTCCATAACCTAAGCATCTGATATAAGCCAAAAGAAGTACAGAATAATACTTATCATTTATGATTCAACTTTCATAACCAACCTGTCTCATTTCCATAACCTAAGCATCTGATATAAGCCAAAAGAAGTACAGAATAATACTTATCATTTATGATTCAACTTTCATAACCAACCTGTCTCATTTCCATAACCTAAGCATCTGATATAAGCCAAAAGAAGTACAGAATAATACTTATCATTTATGATTCAACTTTCATAACCAACCTGTCTCATTTCCATAACCTAAGCATCTGATATAAGCCAAAAGAAGTACAGAATAATACTTATCATTTATGATTCAACTTTCATAACCAACCTGTCTCATTTCCATAACCTAAGCATCTGATATAAGCCAAAAGAAGTACAGAATAATACTTATCATTTATGATTCAACTTTCATAACCAACCTGTCTCATTTCCATAACCTAAGCATCTGATATAAGCCAAAAGAAGTACAGAATAATACTTATCATTTATGATTCAACTTTCATAACCAACCTGTCTCATTTCCATAACCTAAGCATCTGATATAGGTTGTAAATTTATGTAACAAAATTTCACTGGCTCTGGGGCCCCCTCAGACTTTTTATTGACGAATTCATGGGGCTGGAGTGTGAAGTGACCACTTACTTCCATACAGTGTGAAAGATTTCATTCTTTATAAACACAGAATTGAAAGGAATTTGGTTAGTTAGATACAATACCATTGTCTTTGGCTATTTGACAGTTTTCCTTGGCAAACTAGTAACTCACATACTGGTCGTCTGTTGATGCCTTTCATGTACTTATTATATTTGACAGTGCAGAGAGGCTTTTTGACATCTTCGTCCATTTTCCTGCCCTTACCAGTACTAATAACTTTTGCATAGTGGATAGTCAATATTATCCTCTCTTCTCATTTATCTTTTCAGACCCACAGAACAATTTTTCCCTGTATTTTGAATGTGGACTCTCCAGTCGTCAACTTCTTAGCCTCCCTGAGCCAATCACATGAAAGAGCCCTCTTGGCCCATATAATATCAGAAAGTCTAATTTCTTGTTCAAGAGGGCCACTGCGTCATTCCCCTTGTAGTAACTTTTGAAACACAGAATGGTTCAGTTCTAAATTTTCACAAATAACTGAGAATATGGTATTTTCAAGTTTCTTTCTGCAGTATAAATTTCCATATTGCAAATATAGCTGCTCTTAGACTGTACAGCATCCTGACTGTGTACTTCACAATTTTGCTAAGATTGAACATTCTAATTTTCAGTCATCTCTTAGTGTCGTTTGTTCATCCATCTTTTTGGTACCAAATACTGCTTTGAATTTCTCCGCCGATTACCTACAGACAAGAAAACTTCTGAAGAGCATGCCTGATTGCAGTTGTTACTGAAGCACCACTCTCGCCAGATTGCTTCAAAGTGATTTTTACCCATGATCTGAGAAAATTACATGGATGTATCTGCTGACCTAGCCTACATTGTTTTCACTTCAAACCAGACTCATCAGTACCACCAGCCCTAAAATATTCGTTCTTTTCTCTACATAGGTCATATCAAAAGTCACGAGCAACTTTTTTTTGTATGCAGCCTGGGAACAGCAAACGAAAGAGAGTATGGTGGTAGGTTGAACCAACCATTGTGTTAACCTTAAGTGTCTTGTGATGTCAATAGCTTGCATCACGTGACTAGTATCACTTCTAACAAAATGGCCAACAACAATATGTCGTTTCGCCAGCGTGCTGTCATCGAATTTCTTGTGAAAGAGGAAATCCCTGCTGCAGAAATTCACCAGAGACTTCAGCGTGCTTATGGAAGTGTGTGCATGGGTGCGAGCAGTGTTCGAAGATGGGTGAAACATTTTAAAGATGGGAACACCAGCATCGAAGATGAGCCTCGGAGCGGTTGTCCTCGAACAGCCTCAACTGAACACAACNGTGTGACTGTGGACACAGTAGCCTGAAAACTTGGAATAGGGCACAGTGCAGTACAGGAGATGATTGAAAGCTTGGGCTATAGGAAAGTTTGTGCTCGTTGGGTCCCGCGGTTATTGACCGAAGACCACAAAAGTCAGTGAAAAGCCATCACCTCAGAACTGCTGCAGAGATATTGACACAAAGGCGATGATTTTTTGCTCTGTATTGTGACAGGTGATGAAAGCTGGTTTCAACATTTCGAGCCTGAAACAAAACGGCAGAGTATGGAATGGCACCATTTGCGTTCTCCATCAAAAGAGAAGGCAAAGACAGTGCCATCAGCTGCGAAGGTGATGGGTAGAGTCTTCTGGGATGCAGAGTGGTTTGTTCTGGCTGAATTCCTGGAACCTGGGCAAACCATCAATGCTGCTAGTTATGTCCAGACGCTGCACAAGCTCTGTCATGCATTGCGCGATAAACGTCTGGGATGAAACATCATCATCCTGTATGACGCTGCTCACCTCACATTGGAAGAAATTGCAAAGATGGGGTGGGAAGTTCTTCCACACCCCTCCTATAGCCCTGATCTGGCACCCTCCGACTACCATCTTTTCGGATTTGTGAAGGATCAGCTGCGTGGACGTTTTGAGACAAGGGAGGCAATTCAGAAAGCAGTGTGTCAGTGTCTTTGGATGGCTGGAACAGAATTTTACAGAAGGGGAATTTTCAAACTCCCAGATCGCTGGGAGAAATGTGTACAAAGAAGTGGCGATTATGTGGAAAAATAAAGAAAGGTCTGTAGATTGAGGTGGTGTATTTGGTTTGTCAATAATAAAGCATATTACTTTACAAAAAAGTGTTGCTCATGACATTCAGTATGACCCTCATGATTACTTTTGTGTTGTTGCAGAAGAATTTCATTTTTCATAATTTTACCTATGGTAAAGGTTTATTTATTTTGCTGTATTCACAATTAGGTGTGCACATATATAGAGCCCGACAGCCTCAGAAATACTGTCTGAATTTTCTGTCACTGTATATTAACTCCCATTTTCCCAATAAAAGGTTCATCTCTAGGTGTACCATGTACTTCATTCCTTGTAGAGTCTGTCCTATCTGGAACGTAGTCTACACTGTCAGTTTCTTCTTCTGATTCCAGCTCTTCAGGATCAGGATCAGTTATTGTATTTTCACTGCACTTTCTGCTGCTTGTACTGGCCCATCCCTGTTATCAGGTCTATCTCTAGATTGAGAACTGTCATAAGTTCATTGCCCAAAGTGTCTGGCAGACACCCGCATAAGCTTCCATGACAGTTTCTGCTGGACCTCTTTCGTGGTGCCATGCTCCAAACAGCTGAATAAGAGCTGTCATAATCATCAATGCTCTCAGCAAGAGAGAGGAAATAAAAATTTATGTTTATCCTGAACGCTTATCAGAGGAAGTCTGTCTTAAAAAATGTGATATATTTGTCAGTTGGTTGAATGGTTTTGGCACAGTGAGGTGGACTGGTATGCATTGCACTGTGTGCATATATGAAAAGGCATTTATCTATAATCCATACCCCATAATAGAAAAAAAAGATTGTGATCATCACTGCAACCCATTCACAGTGTGTTAAATATTGCCTGCCACACTTAATGTGGAAAAATGTAGTATATAAAAACCATTTGAATTGAGTGATTATAATATAATATACAGTAAATATAATGGGTTGGCAGAGAGTGAAAGTCCTTCCATTTTGCCTTCTATAAGGAAAACTGCTTTATCTTGTTCTAAGTACTTGACATGTTCGACTAACTCCTTACTTTACTGACAAGGAAGTTAGAGACACAAAATTTGCATGGCAAAAATTGAGTGCTATGGGGTACTGCAACTTTTGCATTCTGTATTCCATTTTCATCATTATCTTTAAACGTTTTAATTCAAATAACCTGTGATATAAATATGCAGTTTGTTGAATGTGATATTGTAGTCTTATTTGAGTTCCGCATGTTACGTAACATTTTATTGCTTTTACACAATTTCTTTGGAACATTAACATGCTTAACATGCCTGACGAAGCATGACATATCACAAAATAAATACTGTTCGTGTTTCATGTTACAATATAAAGTGGAGACATTTCAAATATTAAACTTCTCCATCGCTTGAAATGGTGTATACGGTGGAAAACACGCTAGACTGCTGTCAAGTAAAATTGAGCTGCAAGCTTCAATCATTAGGCATGTAAAGAGATACTAAGGAATTGAGTTTATTCAGGGTATGCAGGGAGAATACTTTCAAATCCAAAACCTGGAAGATCTCTTTTTAACCCCTTAAATCTAGTCACTGTGTTTCTGTATGCATGATGATGTATTCATGGCCATATTTGATTTTAAGTAACATTTCGATGTTCCCATATATATAAAGAGTTTCAGTCATTGAAAAGGGGAAGGTGGTGTTGTGGGAGAAGGAAGAATCTGGCATTATAGAGGTTTACTCTAGTTCTCTGTAACTTCAAACTGTATTATTGCATATGTAATACTTCGCTAAAAATATATGCCATAAAGAACTTAAATTTTAATTTTAAAATATGTTAGCGCTTTATATTCAGTAACTATAACTTCTGTTTCAAAATCAAGATTTCATTGGACAACATTGTTATGTTGTACAACATGCTCTCATATATCATGGCCACGTACAGCGGAAGTCCATGAAATATTGACACCATTATGAGTACTTAGTATAGGCAGTTTAGTACTGGGGATGTAGAAATTGCTCCAAAAATCAAACATCAGATTTTTGCTGTAATATCAACTGTGACCAATGAAAACACAGATGTTTATGGGGGAATTAACTAGTAATGCTGTAGTATATAAAGTGTGAATGGATCATGTTATCGATTTTCAAGTTGATACACAGAAAGGAAGTCATGGGAGTTGTTATTTCTTGTTTCAAATGCTGTGGGTTCTCATACAGGCAACTGTGCCCAAAATAATTATCATTTTTAGTCTAGAGGGGAATGGAATGTCGTAGGCAGTCTGTACAGGGGGTGAATGTTGTGTTACTGCATCAGGTCATGGCTTTCCATGGAGAAAAGAAAACATCTTGAATGTTTTCTTCATTTCCTGTGTTGCATCGACAACTACCCTCTTGTGTATGTATGAAGGTTTCTTTTGTCTCTCTCTCTCTCTCTCTCAGTTCACTCTCAGTGAATGAAGATGTGAGAGTGCTGAGGTGACAGAAATGCTCATGTCACTTAAACCTTCTGCTAATTATGAAACAAGAGGAGCACTAGTTAAGCTGAAAACTCAGAAAATAGTCCTCTCATTAAAATGGATGAATATTGCTATATTTAACATCGCTGAATAAGCGTTTAATAAGAAAATGCTCATAAAAGAAAAATACTCATTATAGACTGTATATATTACATTGGACTTCTGCTGTAATAGAAAAGCATAGATAATTCAAAATTATTTCATACGCTCTTTCATACACATCAGTGCTAGTGTCATAGAGTGTCTTGTGAGTGTATAGGTTCATTCTTTACTTCCACTCTTAACTGGTTGCATTCCCAAATGGTAGGCAGTATAAAGTGAAGGGCATCATAAAATAGATAGCAACACTCATTGAGAAGGGGGGGGGGGATGGATACTTTGTTCGAAAGTACCTGGGTGTAGCAGTGCATGGCTTCATAAGTGTTGAGTAAACAGTATGTAGTTGAACATAAGACAGTAGACCTGCACATACATAATTGGGAGTATATTGTAGTTGCACTGAATCATCCAAATTGATACACTCAGAGCACGTTCAAGAAGAGCTGTTTGGAGAATATGTGACAGTGTGAGGACTCAGTGTGGTGTGTCTTCCCTACAGATAAATGGTGTTGACATGGAGGGTGCTCGGCATGACCAGGCAGTGTCGATGCTGACTGGTCTTGAGAGATTTGTCCGTCTGGTGGTGGAACGAGAAGTGTTGGTTCCTCGTGAATCATTGTGTAGCAGCCCATCTCCCTCGCCAAGCCCAGGCTCAGAGAAGTCCCCTCGTGTGTTTGGTGTCCCAAAACCTTATACTGGACTATATAGTGCCAATAGCTATATGGCAAATCGGCCCGGTTATACTGGGTACAGGCGACCGATGCCTGAAAGGACTTCTGGAACAAGCTATGGAAAGTTGCCTGGACTTAGGAATGAAACGTCTGGAACAGTAACAAATAGTGATAATAAAACAGTTGGTGCATTGCCAGACACTCATATGAACACTACTAAAGATGCCAGTGCCATAACCAGTGTTGATGCAAAGGTAGAACCCCCGCGTCCTGCTCCCCGTCGCGTTCCACAGGCACAAGCCTCGGATACCTCTACACCTGCACCTGAAACCACTTCAGAGCCAGTTCAGGTACTTCCAAAGCCCATCACCAATGAGGAATTCCAAGCTATGATACCTGCTCGGTTCCTTCAGTCCTCTGCCACAGATTCCACACAGGAGCCCCCTGGGCCCACCGTGACAGTGACTATCAAGCAGCCTGAACACTCAGCTGGTGACATCAAATTCCCTCCTGCCCCAACAACTCTCGGTAAAGTGACAGAGACCATCACAAAGAGCACATTCACCGAGACGGTTGTGACTCGGGTCACGGAGAACAAGGAGGTTCTTCCCGTCATCATTGAGGTTAGTTGAGCTGTGTGCGGTCAGATTGAAACCTGGTAATGCAAAGAAAGTAGAGAAGTTGTTAAATCTGTAGTGTCAGTATATAAGATATTCATGAATGATGAAACATTCATAAACCCTGACAGTTACATTCACGTTGTTTTTGCACCTAAAAACAGTAATGAAATGAGAATAAGCAATAGCAGAAGAATGAGTTATATCTTGAGGACTGTTTGGAAAGTTACTTCTACTGAGCTGTTAACAAAAGGAGCAATGAGGAAAAAACAATTATATGCAAGAAATACATTTATACTTAAGTTATTTCTCAGTGTAGTCACTTCTGGAATTGAGGCACTTATTATAACAGGGAATAAGTTTATGTATGCCTGTGTCAAAGAAGTCTGCCTCCTCTGAGCTCAGCCACATTTTGACACCTTCCATCAGTTCTTGATTATTGTTTAAGTGGTGTGATTGGAACCAGTTCTTGAGGTAGGCAAACAGGTGGTAGTTTCTTGGAGCAAGACTGGTGCTGTAAGGAAGGTGGTCAGACAACTCCCAGTTGAAATGCTCTAGCAGTGCTCGAGTGCTACCAGCTGTATGCAGAAACATATTGTCATGGAGGAGCACTACACCAGATGTCACCATTCCACACCTTTTGTCCTGAATGGCCCTATGCAATTATTTTAGTGTTTCACAATACAAAATGTGGCTAAGCTCTCAGGCAGCAGACTTCTTTGATATAAAAAAAACTCCGTGGCTTTTAGTCTGCAAGTGAACTATACCAACCCAGCGACTGCCACTTGTCAGCAAAGTTAGTGTCAACTTTTGCGGATAGAGGGTGTTGCATGGTCAGCGCAGTGGTTCTCCATGGCCGTTTATTTCAGTTTTCTAGACTGGAGCATTTATTTCCTTGAAATAGCTCCTCATTTATCATCATGAGGCCCACTACTTCTCAGAAAATTTGGTAGCGCCAGGTATCAAACCCAGGATCCCTGGATCTAGCCAGGAACTCTGACCACCAGACCACAGAGGTGGTCCTTTTTTGACACGGGCATACAATATCTTATTCCCTGATATGACAAGTCCCCAGTGCTGGCAGTGACTGCTTTGAGAAGTAGCTTAAGTATGTACATATTTCTAATATATACAGTAGAACTTGGTTATAACGTCATCAAAGGGACCTAAAAATAGTGTCGTTATAAACGAATGTCGTTGTAACCGAAATGGGCACTTCCACAGTATCCTTATGTTAGTGACGTAAAAATCTACCAAAAACTGAGTTAAAATGTTGCATTTTTAGTGAAATACGTAGTTAAGTACAGACTAACGTAACATTAACGTGGAATTGCCCAAATGTGTAATATCAAAGACATATTACAGCGCTTTTCACTGACAATACACACAATATTTCACGAATCACTTTAACTTTCTCTTCAATGCTTAAAACTTTCCTTTTCATTGCCATGTTTTCGCTACTGCACTTCTCTGGGTTTAGGCAGGAACACTATAGGGTAAGTAGACAATGTGAGGTCCTGTTAGACGAGATTCTAGGAAAGGAATGCAGTTAACAACCTGCCGCGTCCTCTTGCACTATTCACGCAGTCCCAACCCACACCCTTGTTTTGGCATAAAACCCACGCTCCTCTTGCAGCCCGCGGTCGTATTCTTCCAGGACAGTCACGTCAGCAAGTAGAGAAAGTGAGGGTGGGCAGACACATCGAACTTTCCCACCATATCAGAGAAATTCAGGAATGAAAATGATGTTACATACGAGGTTGATGCATTTGTGCATGTCGTACTAAGCAAGGTATAAAAACAGTTGCTTTATGAGGAATTAGTTCGTACCATTGAATATTTGATGCAATAGACAAGGTGTCGCAGAAACCGATGTTGCTATAACCAAGTTTTACTGTAATAATTTTCTTTATCATTCTTGTTTTGGTAAAAGCTCACCGGAGATTACTTTATGAATAGCCCTTGTATTTACAGTTCTTAGTTGTCTGTTCATATGTACAGAAAGAACCCTTTGAGCACGGAGTTTTAAGTTGTATATTATGTATACAGCAACAAAGTTCAAAGATTCATGAACATGTTCATATAAGAAGTCTCCCTGCCTGAAGAATTTAAGTGTGTGTTTATATAAGGTGTTCCTTACCTGAAAAATTTAGGAATGTATTCGTATAAGACATCTGCCTGGCCCAAAATTCTAGGAATACGTTCATCTAATGAACATTAGTTTTGATTCTCTGCTTGCCAACAGTTTTCCTTGCAGAAATAGTACATTATCTTACTACCATGGTCAGGCGATAACACTGTGTTATGGTGGTCCAGTTGCCAGCATATTGGAGAAACTGGATATCTCTGCCTTCAAAACAGAGTGACAAAACAGTGACCGCAAGGCGATGGGAAATTCCTCTGCACGATGGCAGTTTTTAATCACTTTGCTGGAATATAGAGATAGCCAGACACTCCCAAGCTGTGAGCTAACCATCCCATTGCAACTTGGTGTCATGTAATATCCTGTGTTTGCAAATGCAGACAGCAGAGTATTTCCATAGTATTCTTGCAGAATTATTTTTTAAAATAAGATTTTGCCATAATATTTTTAATCTCACTTAACAATAAAACTGATCTGTTTAGTAGAATCACACTTCGTCATGAAAAATACTCAGTGATTTACTAGTAAATTAATAATAAATTGAAGAGTACTGTCTTCTGGGATATAAAGTCACATAGTCCACTTAAAGTCAGCTGACTTTCGGAGGAAAATATTGCCTTCATCTTCAAGGTCGAATAATAAATTATTGGAGTATGACCCTTTGATTGCTTTCCAATTATGTAGGTACTCCAGGCAGCCTCGGAGATAAAGTTTCCAGTTTTGTGACAAGAATTTCCAAATTGAAGTTTGAGAATTATGTAAAAAGTCATATCATAACTATGATATGTAATATTTGAAGCAAAAGTTTTGTTTAATGAAGTATTATGTCTCCTAATCAGTCAATTAAAATAATCAGTCAGGTTGTGAGAGTCTTAATGACTAGCCATGCTTCGCAGTGCCGAATACTTACAAATACTCTGAAGTGAGAGTCAGAAATATTTTCCATATGCATTCTCTATAATTTTGCATACCTGGTTGTCTTATTTTCTTCTTTGTCAGATCCAGTTTGTTGCTGCAAAACTAATAACAGCTGGTTGAGCTTCATGTAAATTATTGGACTGAAATATTTGTATGGAATGACTGACATTATATCCCTATAAAATGTTCTTTTTGTATACTTCGCCAGAAGAACACAAAATTCTGTTTACATTGTCTTCAATAGATTAAGGCTAGATCAGAGAGATAGCAAAGGCAGTATTGACTTATCCCCACTGTCCATGTTGTGCTCTACTCAAAAGGTTATTTTCAAGTGGAAACAGGATTTAAATTTTTTTTATGTATATTGTCGTTTTTATGAGCTCTACATATTTTATTGTAAACACGTCCAAATTGTTACGCTTCCTCTTTTGTATAAATGCATTGATGTTTGTTTTCTTCTCTTTACCATAATTTTATGTGTGCTTCTGTGATTGTTTAATTTATTATAGATTAAAATTACTGTCTCTGACTTTTCCTACTTTGTTCATGTTGTGTGTAATTTGGAATTTCTTTTATATCTCTAGTATTGACCATAATTTTTGAAAAAAAAAATAATTTTATATAATTTAATGAAGTCTTCAAGCTGGGATAGTGTAGTTGGTGTAGTGATTGGCTATGGGCTGGATGATCAAGGGGTCAGAGTTTGAGTCCCTGTAGGGCCAAGAATTTTCTCAATGTCGTTCAAACCGGCTCTGGGGCCCACCCAGCCTCCTGTCCTATGGGTACTGGGGAATCTTTCCCTGGGTGTAAAGCAGCAAGAGCATGAAGCTGACCACTCACCTCCAGCTAGTGCCAAGGTCAAGATAATGCAAATCTATACATCCATTCCCCCATATGCCTTCATGGCATAGTGCTTAATTAGTTAAGCACAGGGCACATTTTTACCTTTTTAATTAAGTCTTTTCTGGTTGTGGGTCACATTGCAGCTGAATAAAATTCCAGATTTTAAAGTTCCCTCTTCTCTCATCAGGCCTGAGCATAATCATATTGTTGGCTATGTGTGTAACACATACAAACAATTACATGCTTGTACATGTAGACGTGCACACATACACAAAACATACTTCCACGTGAGATTAAGAAGCACAGATTTTCTCTCACACTTTCACTTTGATGCACCATTTGCCTCCCTTTGACTACCATTGTTCTAGACATACAGTGTTGACTTCCCTCACACTATTTCAACTTCCCCAAATCTGTTACTAATGAAGCAGAGACTGCTTCTGGTGGGTCAGTTTGGGGGTTACTTAATGACACTTCTAAAATGCTGAGATTTTATTTAGCCATTTTTCAGCTCATAGCTAGAGAACACTCTCTTGTATAACTTACTTCTGTTCCAACTGTGTGTTCTGATGTGTAAAGGATAATACGTAACTCAGTCCTCAAGTATTTTTATTTTGTTTAATTATATAAATTGAACACTCTGCCAAGGTTTCAATCTGTCCGTCAGCATATAGTATAAGCTGCATCCATAGAATATCTGCTTTATTTATAAATTAACAGCTTGGTAAATATTTGTAAGAATGACATGTACATACAGAATGAGTATAAAGTTGCATGCATTTATATTGTGCACCACGAATTACAGTACTTTTTTTTTTCGTGATATATTTTACACAATCACTGTTCCATGATTGTGTATCATGTATGAATGGAGTTTTCTGAAACCAGTCTTTTAGGAATGAAACACACTGGAAATCACACATAAATTTTTGGTTTCAGTTTAATTTCAGATGTTACATAAAGAATTAGAACTTTCAGGTTTTGGAGTAGTTTGTTGAGGTTTGCGTTACATCCCGTTTTGCTGAGGTTCACCTTATCTGTCCATCTCCTTCTTGATCTTGCATTTGATTTCATAATTTTCCCCTAACAAATTTATGTGTGC